CTTCTGTCTTGTTGTTGGTGTATAGGAATGCCACTGATTTCTGTGCATTGATTTTATATCCTGCCACTTTACTGAATTCCTGTATGCATTCTAGCAGTTTTTGGTAAATTTAAGAAAAAATTACTTCAAAGTTTGCAAAACTTCATGCAAAAAATTAATGCAAACCATCGTGCTTCACCATTAATACTGTCACAAATCCAGTTTCTCAGAGGGTAGACCTAGATAATTTGCTGCCTTGAAGCTTGAGTAGCACAATAGGTGATAGATTTCTTATCAGAACCAATCACTGCTACGCTAAAACCTCAAGCAAACCTTTACATACCATAGATCAAGACTGGGGGTCCCCCACCTTTCAGGGAGAGGCCCCTTCACCAAGGTTTTTAAGTTGTAATCAGGGTCGATGGAATACTGACATGAAAGTCCCTGAGTGGCAAAAGGCAAGAGTGTTTTGCTCTGTTCTTCAAGGAAACACAACAGAGGGAAAGAAAATGGGTGTTGGCAGTGAAGTAAGACCCAGAGACCTAAGTGTGACCATTGATTGACCCATCATTTTAATAACAAGTATTTGAGGTCTGATCACTTGGCATGAGGCATTGTGTCTACCAAGTAGGATCCCTTTATACACGATAGCTTGTTGTTGATACGATGCTGGTAAATAATTGTGCTCCTACACAAAAACAAGTTCAGAGACACTCCCCTTTATATCTTTCTTCTATGTTCTTGCTTTCCCTTTTAATAAATTCCTCTGACTACTGTCATTCTTCTCTGTTTAGAAATCCCAAAGAGATGCTATGTACCAGCAAAGGCCCTGAAGATAGCAGGTGCTCAGAAAAGTGTTTATTAAATGATGAGCTAATTAGTTTGAAAAATCCCAGTTCTTCTTTAATGAGATTGAATTCAACATAAAGACTATGGGAAGTGTGTAGAGCTTGTAGCACTTCCTAAGTGATTCTGTCTTAAATTTTCTCATTTACTTAGATTTTCTAGGGAGTATTCTAGGGAAGAATGTTTGGGGTATATTTTATGATTCTCTATTAAACATTTTTCTGAATAGATCTATACCAGCTTTTTCAAAACATTAGGGCTTGGCACAAGTGAAAAAAAAGTGAAGCATATCTAAAATTAATCAGTTAAAGTAAAATGCTTTTTCTGTAAAGGCATCTACTGTCACAGAATAGGATTTATCATAAATGCTTCAAAATAATGAGAATGAGTTTTCTGATGTCACAGTGTCAGCTAGAAAAACTTCAAGATCACACTCTATTACGATCACCTTTGGTATAAAATTTACCAAGTTGCTACTCAGCTACTTAAATATTTGCTATCCCTTGCAAAACTTTTAAAGCTTGTATCTTTACAGGTCTCTCAACACTACTTCTATATATAGTTTATCTTGCCTATGAGTCAGTTTTCCCTTAAATGAAGATATATGAAGCATTTGTATTTTAGTCTAAAGTTGAGAATGTACATTTTTTAACTTTAAGATTATATTTCAAAAAAAATGGGGGCTGACCAGAGCAGACAAGTGGAGAATATTGCTAAACCAGGACTTTGAACTTAGCTATTGTCTTGCCCAAAATAACTCCAGCTCTCTGTCCTTACTGCCGTTAGAGGACTGAGGCTCACAGGGATTTAGTCCACATCTGCTCAAAATGTGGCTTTGGAGCTGGAGCATAACTGGTTAGAGAGGAGAGACCATAGCTTTTCTTCCCCAAATGATGCATTATAACCACTTGGCTTCAAAAGATTTTACACCCATCTGGGAATTAATGGAAGGTAGCTTCCCAAAGACTTTACTTTGTTTCACATTGAGAGTAATTAGAGCTGTTTTATCAGCCTCCACCAGAATGGATGGAGGAGGTAAGTACCTACCTTCTCAGTACCTACACTGGCCAGTGTTTCTGGTTGATAACCACTTTATTCTCATCCTTAGCTTCACAAAGGAAAGGGCCAAATGTGCCATGATGAGAGAGATGCATGTTTTCACTTGGCGGTGACTTCACCCACCCACCCCCATCTGTTTTGGATACTGAGGTGGTTTCATTTTGCAATTCATTGCATGCCTGACAGTCTGGCTATAGCATATAAGGAGAGAGAAAGAAAGGAACATGAATGAAACTTCCTTGGAGATTAAATGATGGACCATATATTGAGACATATAAAGTGATGCTCCAAGGTTAAAATAATCTTCCCTTTTAAATTGGCATTGAATTATGTGATGTCTGCACTTGAGTCCTGGACACCAGCAACTCAGCTCCCATTCGTGCAGCCTGGATTCTGCTGAAGCAGCCACCCGTGGGAGGACAAGCAATAGGCAACTAAGACACTCCTCCTCCCCATTCTAAACTCGAAAAATCCACAGGTCATTCCCTCATCCGAGGAATCCTCAAAGGCCAAGGAATTGTTCTGTGGTCCCTGCACAGGAGTTGGTCTTTTCCCCTATAGTTTTCTTTACGTCTTCTAGAGGGAGAAGCTAAGGCATAAAAAACCTTTTCCCCTCCTGGCACAAATCAAAAAGGGAATTGGGAGGGAGGGAGGGAAGTAAGGAAAAGAGAGAGACTAAGGAGTAAGGTTGGGAAGATTATATAAGTGTGTTTATATGTATTTTTGCATGCCCACGTGAGGCTGCAAAGAATAAAAGGTAGATATCCCTCTCCATCACAAAAATAATTTACAAACAGCTGCTCCCACTTTGTAAGATTGTTTGCAAAACGAAGCAACAATGCTGAGAATATTCTTCCCCTTAAGGGAAATCTGCTCACAATCCAAAAAACTGTTCTTCATCTCCAACTCTGGGGATTTTAATAAAAATTTGATAGGCTGTGTCAACTGCTAACGCCATCAGATCCAGAGCCTCTTGCAACAGTCTGGATGGGGGAAAAAGTGTTATCTGTGGAGACCCAGAATGAGAGGATTTTACATTTGATATTGTTTTTAAAGATCCACATTTCAAATGCATAGTTGTGCTATCTTACATCGCCATACTCGGTGCAATTTGCAGAGAATCAGTCTCAGCGGTTGGAGATTGATGCTGTGCCTCCCAGCAACCAATTCTCTTGTTCACTTCTCCAAATTGTTGATCCAAAAAAACCAATTTGCTAGCAAAATAATCTATTTTTCTTTCAAGTATCAAATCATAACTTCATTTCAATATCCACAGACTAGAAAGGACAGAAAATCTTTCTCCAAAAATCAAACATTCAAAGTCTTTCCAAATAGTGAGTTAAACACACCCATGGCCTAGAAAGTGAAGGCTTCCTTGGGGACACTAAAGGCAACGCTTCTGGACCCAGAAGATTCAGAAAAAAAATTTAAATCCTAACTTCCTGTCTCTTCCTCCTTATGAACCATCTCCTGTGGCTCAACCTATCCATGTCCAGGTACATCCCCTTTTTTCAGAGAATACCTTCTCCAAGTCCAGTGGAATAGCTTGAGTCTTCCCACTTGCCTGACTATAGGTTTCAGAGTTCCATTCATCATTTCCCACAAGAGAAAAAGGACAGGTTCTGACATCCCTAAACTCTTGAAATGACCAGGCAGATTGGCAGCCCCATTCCACAACCCTCATCACTTCACTGGAGGACATTTTAAATAAACACATTTAAAACCATGTAACTATTACATTTATTCAAAAGGCGTATAAAAACCCATTCAAATAACATGGCACAAATGTACAAATGACCTAGTAAAATTAGAATAATATCTATGGCCAAATGCCAGATTCCAGAAATGTGAGGACTATGTCTCTTATTATTTCTCTAGAGCGAAGTAATTGTCTGGTACAGATAGCTTGGAGAAAGTAGAGAGCAAAATCTTACAATGTCAATGCTACTGAAGTTCAAGGTCAAATCTGCCTTGAGTATTATTAGCCTGAGAGTGGAGAACAGCTCCAGAGGCCACTGAGGATCCTTGATTAGATGGATTTCCGGGCCTAGATATTGAATGAAGCAAACATATGGGGCTCTGGCAGGCAGTAAATAGCCCTGTTTTTTTCTTTGGGCATGAAAGCTACCAGAAAATCAAGATTTTAGAACAATAGAGCATATGGATAGAATAATATGAGCTGGTGCTATAGAAGCAATTTTTCATCCCACTTAGAACATCTCTAATATCCTGTAGGTTGTGGGGAGGTGTGAGAGGACGGGGATCTAAACCAAGATGCTATATTGGTTCTGCTCTGCAATTCAAGAGCATGGGACCTCCCAATCCAAGACCATCTCTGGATAAGTCATGTTGTAGACCAAAGCATGTTCCAGCCTCCCCTAAAATTTTCTTTCTTAAACACAGCCAGGGAGAGATGCTGATGGGTTGTATACACTGACGGGCATCATGCCCAAATGACTAGTATGTTTAGGAAATGCCTCAGAGTTATGTTTTATGCAGGTTGCATCTAAACAACCTACCATTTTGTAACTGCTGATTCTTTATGTATGTGTGTATGTGTCTTAGAGTTTCATACCTCATTTTCAAATATGTCCTTATAATAATATACAGCTCAGGATTTTGAGAATACAATTTTTATTTTCAATTCAGACATCTCAGATCAAAGTTAAACAGGAAAAATGAGAAATGTCTGTCACAAGACCAACAATAACAGCAGTTATAAACTGCTTATTTTTGATTGGAGTAGGATGAATAACATGGAAGGTATATTTAAAATGTCAAATTATAGCAACAGTGATCTGAATGCATATTTTTGTTGTGTAAATGTTCCTCTACTTTTTCTACCAACACATAATATTTTAATAAAAAAATTTTAATGGGAGAAAACACATAAATTAGAATTATAGGCTTATTTATTGAATATTTCCTGTATGTTAGGTACTGTGCTAGGAATGGGGCATTCAATTCCATCATGGAGCTTACATTCTAGTGCAAAAGGTGCAAGCTTCTTTAAACAAACACAAAAATAGAAATATTAGTATTATAAAGAAAAAATACAATATCCAATGAGAAGATATGAGAGGGGAACCTGTCTGGGAGACCTGCAGGATCTTCCATGAATGGCATTTTATCATAGTTGAGACCTGAGGGATGAGTAGTTGCTAACTGGACAGAGGAGTGAAGACAGAGTGATGACCTAGAGGGTGAAATGGAAAGTATCTTGGTCCATTTGAGAAGCCAAAAGAAGGCTGTTACAGCTGGAAATTCCGAGGGAGAACAGGGGCCACCATGATCCTGGAGAGGGAAATGCATTTAGGTCATATGGGATTTTGATGGCTTTGTAAAAGTTTAGAAAGAAGGGACTCAGAATGTCTTAAAGGTATCTCTCTGACCTTATATAGAAAATATAGGTGTGTGGGGAGTAAGAGTGGATTATAGAATGCCAATTAGGGAGCTACTACAGTAGTCCTGGCAAGCCATGATGAGTGAGGGTAGGTAGTGTAAAGAGAAGAGATTTGGGGAACAGAGGCAGCCAGGCTAGATGACTGATTGGACTTGAGGAAAAGGAGGATGGTCTTAACAATGATACCCAGATGGAAGAAGGAAGACTTCTATGGAAGGGAGAGGATGAATTCAGATTTTCTTTCTCTCCTTGTTTTTTTTTTTTTCAATTGTAAAATGAAATTACCATGCATTTTAACAAGTAACCATAGAGCTAGATTAGGAAGAAGCCAATGGTTATTATCCCACTTCTGGACTAATGCATGTTAACAGCATGATGTAATTCTTTCATCTTTCTCTCTCATATATGTGTGTATTGTTGAATTTTTTAAATTCAGTTTTGAACTTGTTAAATATGAATTTCTTCAAAAATTTATAAGTGAATACAACAAGTGGAAAATTAGATACATGGGTCAAAACTCAGAAGACATATGCTGGGTTTATAGATTTGTCTTTGTGTAGATGATACCTAAACCATGGGAGCAAAGAAGAGTGTCCAGGAGAAAATGTTGAGTCACAAGAGAAAAGGATCTGGACAGAGTCCTAAGGAAATCCAACATTTACCCATTAGGTGAGGGAGGAAGTGGAGAGGTCAGAGAGACAGGAAGATCCTAGGAAAGTGAGGTATTATAAAAGTCGAGAGTGGCGAATCCAGCCAAGAGGTTAATTAATAGAACGTCCATTATAGTGAGCAACAAAGATATCATTAATAATGTTATAAAGTCATATCAGTGGAATTGTTGGGGACCAAGAGAAGTTGCCAGACATTAATTTGGAGTAGTGACAACTTGCCCTTGGAGGTGTGATATTTCCCCCAAATCACAGAGAAGATAAATAGGGTCTACAAAGTTGGTGTTTTTCAGCAATATTTCAAAGAAGGTAAGAGAGGCAAAAGTGATTAACATGGTATTCATAAAAGCTATTATTACAACACTGTTACCTGACTATATTTTAATGCAGGGGCTGAATGTATTAATAATAAATGGACTTTTTTTGTACTTTTATTTATATATAAATATATATATATTTTTTTCCACCTAGGGAAACCTTGGTGAATATGGAGTTCATGGCCCAAAAGGAGAGAAGGTAATCAGATTTGTCCAAGTGAATAAAAATATAAGAATATCCAGGGTTTTACACCAACATATACATTCCCATGTCAGGGACAGTCCTGCTGCCATGTAGGCTTGCATCTCTGGGGAGCCTTCAGTGGGCACAAGCCTCCCTGCCTCCTAACCAGACAGCAGGATTAGACACTGAGGGTCTGCTCCCCGGTGAAGACTGCTGAATAGCAGCTGGCTGCAAGGAGGGAACACATCTAGGGGAAATAGCTGTAACAAAGTAAAGGAAATTAGGACACAAGCTTCGATTCATAAAGCAATATTTCATGAATCGTTGTAGGTGGCAAAACCATCTGAAGACCCCTTTAGCAAAATGCCTCAGGCTCAGGCTCCCTATTTTTGTGTCTTCTCATGTACCCAAACATAAGCTGTCATGGGGGCATTTTTTTGGTGGGGTTTAATAGTGTACAATCATAGTTTAACCAAACAATTATTTCAAAAACAGTTTTAAAATTAAAATGCTGATGGATTTCCACTGCGTCCTCATCGTCGTCACCAGCTTAATTTTATGAGGCGTGAAGATGACAGATTCACTTGCCCACTCAGAAAAATGTTTCACTCTGGTTTGATTCTGGAATTGTGATGACCTTGGATTCAGTGTGAATGTGCCATTGTCAGGAAAAAAATGATGCCATTAAATCTACAGAGATGAGTAGGTCTGAAAACACTCCGAGGGAATGTGGCCTGTGAGTGCTACTTTCATTTGTTCACCCAGCAAAAATTCTCTTGATTGAGGGCAGGGTATTTTGACATGAATCCAAGAAAATATGACTTCTGTGCCTCATAAATCAGTGCAACCAACCTATTCAAAAGATCATACATCTATCACCAGAAAATACTGCTAACAGAAACTAGGAATTTCTTTTAGATTGACCATTGAAAATGAAATTTTCTGCAAAAAAAATAAATAAAACCTTGACATTCTTAAAAAGACATCCAAAAAATATTGATTATACAGCCATAATAAGGCATTTGTGTGTCTGGGATTTTACTGCTAGTACATTAGCATTATTTTCTGTAACCAGATAGCTTACAGAATTTCTACACCACCGTACGAACACATTACATTTTAAGCAATTACTAAAGCACATGTGCAGGCTAACGGGGGAGAAAAAGCCACAAAGCTTGTCACATAGGACAGCTGAGCAAAGAAGAGTGTTGTGGCACTTTTAAAGTATTTAAACGATGATTCATTTATTGAAACCAAACAGCTGGCTTCTGATTGGCTATGTTCATTAGGAAGCATATGTTACTTAGGAATTCCTAAGACCTCAGTGATGAGAAATTTGATTCTGCAAAACAGGTGTATTTCAAACTCTAAGGACCTTTTCTATTCCTCAGAATCTTTTCTAATTGCTTCAGAATCTTAAGTGGAATTAGGAAAAGCCAGGGGCGTAACTGTTCCCTCCTCCCGCCCAGAGAAATAACCTAGAAGAGTCTACAGGGAACTTGTTGCAGTACCTGATACAAATGTACATATGAAATGATTTGTAAGAATTCTAATTAATGGGAGAAGGACTCTGCCAATAAATAATACATAAAATAAACTGAAAGACAAGCATAGCACTTGCTGGAAGAATGAAGTCACCTCTACCTATACATAGGTACTAAGTGGTTAGTGTCTGTTCTGAATCAATACATTTGTTTTTTAAATTATTATGCTGTTCATGGGTCACCATAATAAGAATTTAAACCTCCTTCAAGCTGCCCTCATAGATTTTTCCTTGCACCTATGGTGGACCTTGATGGTTCTGAACGCTGGCTGCACACTGAAATCACTTGGAGAGCTCTTAGAAAATGCCGACGCTCAGACCTCACGCCCAGAGACTCTGATTGGTTGTGGAGCCCATACCTCTCGTTGATCTGGCATTGAGTCCATATCACTATTATTTAAAAGTGCTTCAGATGATTCTAATGGGCAGCCAGGATTGAGAACCACAGAGTGGTCAAAAGAACATGGGCTCTGGGGTCAAAATTGATTGTACCATTAATGGCTGTGTTGGGAAAATCATTTTATTTCTCTGAGCATTGGTTTCCTTGTCTGTAAAATGGGCATAATTGTGTCTACACAGAAATGATAGCAAGACTGAAATCAAATGAGATGAGATGAACTTACCCAAAAGCACAATACCTGAGACATATTAAGCCCACACTAAAGATTTGTTCCTTTCTATTCATCTGCTCCAAACTTTCTTCTCATGAAGTCTCACTTCTCTCTCTTTGGTATTAATAACTGTTGCCATCCTTAACACCTGGTCTTGTTCATCTTTGTCCTCCCACCATAATTTTGACAGAGAGGGACTCAATTTATGCGGTTGAACAAAAGATTTAATGAGAAGTACAATTTCAACACATAAGTGACTTGTTATTGCTATATATCACTTCTCCCTGCAAAACAGAATCACGAAACCAGCCTACCATTTGGATCCCAAAATTGCAGTGAAGCACCAGAACAAACACAGACAGCAGTAGAATCTACACAGAAATCACTCCTGGCTTAGCAACCACATCCTATATCAAGAGCACTTAGATGCAAGGAGAAACACCAATGAACACTAGTGGCTATTAATGGTAAATGGCAGTAAAGACCATGGCAGCCATGGGACCAGTCCACCACTGTTGAAATGATGACTTCTGCTCTGTAGTTTTCCTGAGACTGGCAGCATGTGGTGAAGGAATAATGTATTTGCAAATTGGTTAAAGAGAACTGCTCCTTTACATAGACAGTGGAATAAGGTGGCAGAATATCTAAGGACTCCTAAGAAACTAGCAGGTATCTTTTGGGGCCAGCTGTCAGAAGGAAAAGATTTAGCCTCAACAGCACAGGTCTTTGAAATAGCATTGAAAGTGGCAAATCAAAGGACAGCCTTTCCTGAAGCTGAGTAAATTCATCACTTATCTTTCAGCTCATACCCACAGTGATAAATCACTGAACATTCATTTTAAGTATGAAAAACAACTCCTCAGGTGTCTAAAATTCAGGTATGAAATGTTTTTGTTTGCAGAATTTTCTATGAGGGAATAGGTACCTAAGATTTCCTCTAAGTCCAACCTTACCCAAGTACCACTCAGAGAGACGGACAGATGCCTCTGTTGGGTCCTTTTTCTACATTTCAAAGGAGACTTATTTACATGGGTTCAAACATACAGCAGTTATGAATGTAATTACTGTTCTTCCTTGTACAATCCCCTCCTCTTCCCCTTTGTTATCAGGCAGAAGTGATTTTTATAGTAATTTTTAGACCCCTTTCCCTGATTTCTACTTTTATATTTTGCAGATCAGTCTAACAACTAAGCGTATTTTTCTTTCACATCTATGCACTGGGGGATTTTTTTTTAAGATTTTACTTATTTATATGAGAGAGAGAGAGCACGAGTAGGGGTGGAGGGGCAGAGGGACAGGGAGAAGCAGACTCTCCGCTGAGCAGTTTTGGGAGCCCGATGCAAGGCTCCATCCCAGGATCCCGAGATCGTGACCTGAACCGAAAGCAGATGCTTAACCAACTGAGCCACCCAGGTGCCCCTGCATTGGGGATTTTAACACCTACCAGATGAGTAACACCTACCAGATGAGTAACAGGGAGGTCACTGTGTACCCCCTAATGCTCAGACAAGTCCAGTTGTTTATTTTCTTTTTAAAACCAACACCAATTGGCTTTTTAAATATATCCACCAATTTCTCCCTTTTCTGACTTTGGATAGAATTTGTCATATCTAGAAAAAAATTGCTTCTGCTACAGTGTGGTAAGTATAAGACCGATGATGGTACACTAGATGTTTAGATGGTAGAAGGAAAAATGCTTATATTAATAAAATCAAGATTAATTTTACAAAGTATATTCCACACATCTAGAAGAATCCTTTGAAAACTACGATCTTGTTTATCAATTGCATATGACAAGTTCCATCTTCCTCTAGTGTAAAGTCACAAGATACTGATTTTGATAGCAATGTGGAAATAAGCCAACATTTTTAGGACCGTAATCAATTTTTACTTGAAGTACTTTGGGTAGACTGTTGTTCGAGGCTTCAAAATAAACAGATAAATACATCCACAGAAGGGGAGAGAAATGGAGATGTGCCCTGCAGGCTTGTTTATGATAAGGAAAAGCTAGAGACAACCCAAATGCCCATCAATGGGGCTTGGATAAACCCTGGTACATTAACATTTTCCAGTGGTTACAATGAGTGAGCTAGATCTATATGTATCAATAGAAAGGGATATTAAAAACAACCGTGAGTGGAAAAAAGCAAGTTCTAGGATGTAAAATATAAAAATAAAGCTATTTATGGAATTCATTATAAATATCCCAAATAATATATTGTTCATGATTACATATATGCAGTAAAAGTGAAAAACTATGGACTGAAAATATAAATATACATTTAAGAGAGTGGCTCCCTTTGGGACAGAAATAGAGGGGAAAATACAGAAAATTTCTTCTTTGTAAATTTTTGTATTTCTTTCATTTTGGTTGCCTGGTACACAGAGGTTTGCCATATTCCCCTTCATGTTTTCTGTAGTTATTTTTTTCAAAATAAAAAATATACAAGACATTGTGTGACAAAGGTATATGCCCAGAAATGCAATGGTGAACATCATTTTGCAAAAATGCTTTTGAGATTGGAATAAACCCAACATACATAACTTCTAGTGGCTATGTTTACTTTACCCTCATGTGGTATTCAAGGATCTTGGTAGATGCTAAAAGAAAGCACAATGCTGGGACTCCTCCAAAGTCTGATTAGTGATCTACTTCCTTTCCGCTATATTATTTCTAAATTGTATTTTCTCAAAATACTTTTTATATGTCACATACAAACCCCTCTTCAAGATCTCTGACCAGAACATCTTAGACATTCCTAAGCTGCTGTTACCGCATCAACAAGAATGCCTTCTCTTTGTCCACAGCCAGTCATTTCAGTGATCATATAAATGCTGGGAACAGCTGAGAGACTCACTTTTCTTCCTATGGCTCCCCCACTCCTTCACCTGCCCCCACCTAAAAAAAGAAAGAAGTGTCTGAAATAAAATGAGTCCAGATTATTGTGGCAGTTCAACAGTCTCATGTCTTTAAGATCACACATACACACACACAAAATTTTTTTGGTGAAACAAGACAAAATTATAATTTCTTTCTTCTCTGGACATCTTGCCTTGAAAAATAATTTTTGTCTCTCATTAATTTTAAATATCATAACGAATATTATGGATTTCTGAAAGAGCTGAAGGCATCGTGAAGTGCTGACAAATACATTATTATGCAGACAGTCTAACCAGTTTCACGTTGTCTCTTGGATGATAGCAGATAAATTCCGTGGTTGGTGGGAGCACAAGCAATTGCTCTGAACTGCAGTCACAACAGTACTCACCTGACCTCACGCAAAATCTCTCTTCTGCTTTTTCTCAAAAGGGTGAAACTGGACAACCAGGATTCCCAGGGTCCATTGGCCCTAAAGGTCAAAAAGGAGAATCGGTAAGTATGAAAACTTTTAGGGCAAAGGGAGAATATTTTTTAAAAAACAGAATTAAAAATATTTTTCCTAATCAGCCCTAATTCCGTGAGCCTTGTTTGCCCCTGCCTTGGCAAGCAAAAACAGATCAGATATTTGAGCAAGTGCTCTAGCAAGGCATGAAGTCACTCAATCAATTTTTAAAAAATAAGATAGGTAGGCTAGTATCAGCCCTCTTCTTCATATGAGGCAACTGAGGCCCAGAGAGGTTAACTAACTTGCCCTAGGTCACAGAGCCAGTAAATGTTAGAGCTATGAATCACATTTAGGTAGGCTGATTCTAGAACGCAGGGTTTAAAAATTACTAAGCTGCCCTTCTATAACTAAACATGATAGCTATAATAAATAATAAAGTCAATACACTGAAGACTGGGGCTAATATATCCAAAAAATTAGAAACGTGTATATATCTGCTCTTAGGATACTTTCTGAAGTTACTTTCCTTCCTTGGTTTTTATAAGATCAAAGTAGCTCCTCAAGCCACTTTTCAGTATTACTGAGTCCCCTTTCTTTCAAGACTTAGCTTTTGTGGTAGGAGGAGAAAACCTAAATTATCATTTATACTCAAATCAGACTGCCTAAAGAGATTACATGAATCCTAGTTAAAAATAGCTTTTTTTTTTAAATCCTGCTAAAAAACAAAAACAACCTACAGCAGCTCATAAGAATCAGCCAGCATCAGACTTAAATGTTTTATCTTTATTCAAAAGTGTAATACCTTTTTTCTTTTATTATGTTAATCACCATACATTACATCAGTGGTTTTTGATGTAGTGTTCCATGATTCATTGTTTGCGTATAACACCCTGTGCTCTATTCAATATGTGCCCTCTTTAATAACCATCACCAGGCTAACCCATCCCCCCACCCCCTCCCCTCTAGAACCCTCAGTTTGTTTCTCAGAGTCCACAGTCTCTCATGGTTCGTCTCCCCCTCCAATGTCCTCCCCTTCATTTTTCCCTTCCTACTATCTTCTTCTTCTTTTTTTTAACAAAAATCACATTTCCCTTTTTCCTTGCCAGGGGGAACAAAGGACATTGGTTTAGCAGAGATAGTGAATGCAGAGGTCACGAAAATGCCCGCGTGCCAAACGGAAACAGTAGGAAAAGCGTTTAATATTACAAAGCCAAAATTTCCCTGCGCTTTGGCTATAAAAATTAGGCTGGTTTGGCAATAAGGGTAATTTTGCAGGCAGCGGTAGAGTGAGGGCTTTTACCAGAGTCCCCCAAGCTGTCCTGCCTCCAGGGGTCATGCTCTCTCACCTTTAGTGTCTAGTCCAAGCTTCTAGTTGTCCAAGCTGTCTAGTGACTGTCCAGGACGTGACAGTCTTTAATAGGGCTTCCCAACTTCGTATTTCCAAGAATGTCTGAGAAACTCCCGTTCCACAAATCCAGCCTGGTGGATGCTGCCCCTTCTACCTGCCTAATTACTCCTGACACTCCACACTTGTTGGCAGCTCTTACCATCTCCTAACTGCTTCTGTAGGTCTGCACTGTCTCCTCGCCAAGCTTGAACATTGACTCTCACCTCTTAAATTACTCGTGACACATGGCAGACCCAGACTGAGCACTTTTATAAATTCTACTACCTGAAACACAGGAAGAGCAGAAAAGAGGAACTTCCAGTGGTTTAAGAGCAGTGTTTCCCAAAGGTGGAATGTGCACTTGAATTACCTGGGGCTCTTTTGAAACGCAGGGTCTCATTCAGGAGGGCTGGGGTGGGGCCTGAGACGCCACACTTCTTACTAGTTCCCAGGGGATACTCATGCTGTTGGTTCATGGATCATGCTCTGAGTAGCAGGACTTGGAGGATTTCACAGCTCCTAGGAAATCCGCTCTGGTTTTCTCTGCCACTGCAGGTGTTTGGGGGCAGCTCACCTACCTCCCTGAGATTATCTTTAGCCCCATCTGCCTTACCCGGGAGAAACAGGCTTCTCTTCCTTTTACCTTTTCTGCTTGCCAGTTCCCTCTTAATCCCTTAATGATTCCATGTCCCTTATACAGTAGTTCCACGTTGTGCAAGGGGGATAGATTCAAAGACCTCCAGTGGATGCCTGAAACCGCCAATAGTACCAAACCCTATACAGATGACCCTGAACAACGTGGGAGTTAGGGCATCAACCCCCCAGTGTAGTCGAAAATCTACATATACCTTTTGACTCCTCAATACCTAATTATTGATAGTCTACTGTTGCCCAGAAGCCTTACCAATAACAAACAGTTGATTGCCACATATTTTGTACGTTATATGTATTATATACTGTATTCTTACAATAAAGTAAGCTAGAAAAAAGAAATGCTATTAATAAAATCATAAGGAAGAGAAAATACATTTTACTGCACTGTAAAAAATCCATATATAAGTGAACCCACGCAGTTCAAACCTGTGTTGTTTGAGGGTCAAGAGTATATACTATGTTTTTTCATATGCATACAGATCTATGAGGAAGTTTATTTTATTTAAGATTTTATTTATTTATTTGAGAGACGGAAAATGAGAGAGAGCATGAGACAGGGGAGGGTCAGAGGGAGAAGCAGACTCCCTTTTGAGCAGGGAGCCCAATGCGGGACTCGATCCTGGGACTCCAGGATCATGACCTGAGCCGAAGGCAGTCGCTTCACCAACTGAGCCACCCAGGTGCCCCGAGGAAGTTTATTTTATAAACTAGGCACAGTAAGAGATTATCAACAGTAATAATAAAATTATAATAATATACTGTAATAAACATTATATGAATATGGCCTCTCTCGGAATATCTTGAACTGTACTCACCCTTCTTCTTGGGATGATGCGAGATGATAAAATGCCTCCATGATGGGATGACGTGAGGTGAAGGACATAGGAACTGTGACATAGCGTTAGGCAACAGCCGCCCTGATGATTCGTTGGAAGGAGGATCATCTGCTTCCAGACTGCAGCTGACTATCGGTAACAAATCATGGAAAGTGAAGTCACAGATACGGGGGACCTACTGTGCATCTTTGTCTGCCTTCCTCTCTGCCCCCCACATAAAAGAAAAGCATTTTTACATTACTATACAGAGTAGTTTAGCTCTTTGTGGTCTCAACCTTTCTATTCAGAACAGAATCTGGACACGACTTGGGAGAATAACCAGAAGGCCCAAAAAGAGGAATGGTTTTCATCCAAATTTGAATTCTGAACCATTTATGCTGAATGGCAGTTTCCCGCCACCTTCACTGCTGGACATTTAGAATATGACTACATGTGTCACATGTTAGAGCTTATAGTTATAGATGAGTTTACAGACAGAGAAAGAGAGGTGACCAGATAGTAGTCGTTGGAGTGAGGACGAAATATCAAGTCTTGAGACAACCAGCCTCCTGGTTTGGTTTGGTTGTTTATTTTTTTTAACCTGTTACTTTAATCCATATGGCTTCCCAGTGGCTCTAAATAAGCATGATATAAGCAATGCAACATAAGCAAAAATAAGCAGTTATATAAGCATTGTGGCCCATTGCTCATATCTAAATAACATCATCTCTTCTCTTAAAAATCAACTAGGATTTTTTTAATTAAGGCTGAAAGACGAGAATATAAATAAAGCCCTGATCTAACTTATAGCAGTTAACCAACAATAAGAGATTTAATCACATTGGCTAGATATGGGGCATAATAGAGCAGGCTAGGTTGTGCTAGGTAACAAATTAACCCTGAAATTTCTGTGGCTTAATGCAAGAAAGGTTTTTTTCTTGCTCGTGCTGCATGCCCAGCATGTTGGGTCCGGAGGAGTGGGTGCTGATACCCACTGCACTCAGATACCAGGCTGATTACCACCAGGTAACTAAGCCATCTGGAATACGCAACCTTCTCAGTCACCATGCAGGGAAAGTGGGGCTGGAGAATCAGGAATGGGCTTCTCCTTGCCTCACCCTGCAAGGTACACATGTCACTTCTGCTCACGTGTCATTGCCAAAACTAGCCACATGGCCCCAGGAAACAGCAAGGGAGCAGGGAAATATGGGAGAGAAGAGTTGAGCCCTGAAAATCCCTAGCATATAGGACACGAGGTGAAAACCACAGGGGTTCACTTACTAACCACTTATCTCCCCTTAGTGATTTGTTTAAGGGACTCACAGTCCCTAAGGGAACCTTCAAGAGGAGTATTATCTACCATATTGTTCTCACACTTTCTCTTGACTTTCCTGTGCAAAAGAAAAATTTTTTTAAATGAATGGTTTCCACCTTATTGTCAGTTCACTCAATTCAAATCATAAGTAAATCAAATTACAAATCAAATCAGACTGAGCAACCAAAGCCCAGGATTGAAGTCAGGCTGTCTAGGTTTAAATCCTGAATGACCTCTCACTGGCTATATGACCTTGGGGAAATCACTTAACTTCTCTGGGCCTCAGTTTCCTCATCCAGAAATGGGTATACTAATCATACCTACCCCAGTGACACATAAGAATTAACTAGAACAGTGATTAGATCAGTGTTTGATATATTATAAGGATTTAATGAATATCAGCTATTATTGTTATATCTGCATAACTTGAAATTCTCTAATTTAATAGACTTTTACTGGGTACCAACAGAGTACACCAGAAATGCTGTGATAGTCAAGACCAATTATATCCTTACATTCACAGAGTTTATAGGCAAGATAAACAAGGAGACATAAAGTGGGTGAGTGCTATTTTAGGGGAAATAACTCAGAGTTACTCAGAACCTTTCTGAATCTCTTTCCTCATGCTTGAAATGAGACCGTATCTTCCTCACAGCATTGTTGTGAAGAGTAAATGAAATCATGTCCATGTAACTTCAAGAGGAGAAGCTAATAAGAGAAAGTGTGTGTGTGTGTGTGTGTGTGTGAGAGAGAGAGAGAGAGAGAGAGAGAGAGAGATCATCTCTGTGAACCATGCAAGAGGAAGCTTTGGCCTTGGCAGCATTCCAATTTGTTCCACTCAGGATTCTCGAAATAGTATTAGCATGATTAACTTATTGTTCACTAGGGAATATGAAAGAGTTTTTAAATTAATTCTCATATGCTTCCTTTAAACTGCGCAAGCAGACTGTGTGACATTCTGAGTCATTTTAGCGGCTGCTTTGTGACAGAGGTCTGAGTTTGGCCTGCAGGATTTATCCATATCCAGTTTTGGAGGGTTTCTCAAAGTGTTCATAATTGATTCTGTTTTCTAACCATTTTCCTAGGGAGAACCTCTTACTAAAGGTGAAAAGGGAGATAGAGTAAGTAGATGTTTTATCACTATCTTGGGTTTTCTACTTCATTGATTTCTATCTCTCTGATTTCTCAAATGTTTACTTTGGAGTCTAATAAATTTGATAAAATAAGCTCTCTGAGCATTTTACTTTTTCCTCTGTGAATTTTGACTCTTTTATTTTAATAAATGAGAAATTATAAACCTTGTTAAGTTTCATCCCATGTGATGACACTTTACCATTCGGCTTGGGTATTATATATTTTCTTTAACCATTACTATTTGTGATTGGACATGAATGTTTTGAAAGATGTACACTTAAGATATCTAAAATACAAAATTAAAATGCAAGATACAGTTTTTTCAAAAATTCTGTTAATGATGCAGGTTAAATTTATCAAACAGGATGATTTTATCAAAAGGATCAATAAGAAGTCATGGAAATAAGAAAAGCAAACTCATAATAGCCAATATTGGGAAATCGGAGGGGTGGACGAACCATGAGAGACGATGGACTCTGAAAAACAAACTGAGGGTTCTAGAGGGGAGGGGGTGGGAGGATGGGTTGGCCTGGTGGTGGGTATTGAGGAGGGCACGTTCTGCATGGAGCACTGGGTGTTGTGCACGAACAATGAATCATGGAACACTTCATCTAGAACTAATGATGTAATGTATGGGGATTAACATAAGAATAAAAAAAAAATAAAAATAATAGCCAATATTGTCCTCTTTTGGGTAACCTTAATTTTTTTTTTTTTTGTTCATTAAGTACATATACCCAATGGTAGAATCACCAGAACATTAACTTAGATTTTACTCTTTCTTTTCCCCCTTCATTTTCTTTTCCCCCTTCATCTGAGGTTTTAATCCTCTGAGATATAAGATTAGTTGGTGGCAAGTCACGAAAATGTCAGCTAAGTGGAGAATGCAGTGATTGCTAATGAACTATGATGATTATAGAGTCAAAGTGATACTGGGGGAAAAAAACTGTTATAAAGAAGAAAGAAACCCTGAAACCAACACTACACTATACATTAACTAACTTGAATTTAATTTAAATTAAATAAATAAATAAATGAAGAAAGAAAATGAGTTATTGTTTACATATTAGCAATAAGTATTTTAAATCATGTTTTAGAATGACCTCTCCTTGACTTCATCATGTCATCCGTAATTCCCCCTATATTACGTTAATTAGTAGAAATGCAGATGAATTCAAGTGTTAGAGATGCTCATCCCATCTGAGTTTAAGCATTACATAAATGGTAATTTTTTTTTACAGGGAGAACCTGGGCTAATGGGATCACAGGGAATAAAGGTAATCTCCTGACCTTCTTATTGCATCTCCAATCCAATGAGATTGTGAAGATTAAAGTAACCATTTCACTTACCTTCCCACCCATGTGTTCAGGGTGAACCTGGAGATCCTGGTCCCCCCGGTTTAATAGGAAGCCCAGGACTAAAGGTATATAAGAAATAACTGAGATAAAAGAAGAAATAATTTTGGAGTTATAGCCATTTCTGTGTAAAACAAACGGCTCTGATGTGCCACTCGTTTTCTTCACAAAAGTTCTCAGAGACTTTATCATGTTTCCATGGTGATTTCCCCCCATTGGCTGCATTTATTACACTCATAGTAATTGTGCCTTTTGGTTCACAGTTGGGTTTTTAAACTCTTCTTCAGAGCATATTCACAATAACATCCCTAAAAGGTTTAGAGTAAACAATGTGAGCAAAACCTATGACCCTGAGCTATATACTTAAAGTGAATGGGATTCAAGATTCAATCTCTTAGCCAAATTTATGCAGTTGCTTGAGTTCCCCATGTGGGATTCCACAGGAATGTCCCAAGAAAGACCAGCCATGGGGAGGTGTGGGAAAGACTAATGTGATGCGCTCCCACCCATGGGTAAGGCAGGTTATCCTGGCCTCCCTTGCTGGTGGGAAAAGACCCATTTAAATGAGAACATCTCCAAACTATCTTTGTAAACCCAAAGCACATTTCAGAATTATTCAGAGAAGGTAGGATGATAGAAAGCCTGTCTTTCTCTGTAAAAATCATACCATGTTTTACATATATTCAGCTACAATCTTTTTTTTAATAGAGTTGAAGGACATTTCACCTTCTCTTTTAGGGTCAACAAGGACCTGCAGGCTCTATGGGACCTAGAGGACCACCAGGAGATATTGTATGTATAGCAAGTACAAGTGTCTTCGATATGTGGAAATTAAATTAATGTCTTAAAGAATGTCCACATCTTTTCATGTGACTGAGTTATACTACATTTTCCAAAGACATAGGTCATCTCTACTACCAAAACTGATCACACCTGATGTCAGGGGTTATTAGGAAGGCTAGTAACTTCCTATATTCATATGAGGTCCTTTTGAATATCATTAGCCTAATAAATCAGTCTTTGGAAGTCAAGTTAACTAAGTTATCACTTTGGATGTGCTTGTCAGTGGTGTTCCACCAGGAAGAGAGACTGGAAACATCAAAAGAAATAAGGAAAACTAAGATAGGAAGCAAGCATTTTCATTATGCATGGCTTTGGTTTAATTCTCCATCCAAAAAAGACACTTCTTAAGTTTCTATTGTTGTTTTCTTGCAAGAGTCTCTAAAAAAAAAGCAAGTCTTTTGGCTGAAAATATTTCTCTAATGCCATTGGAGAAGAGTCCTCAGGTTGCATAACCTAATTCTAGTGGTCCCATTATTCTTTCTGTCTCGGTCTGTCTCTCTCTTTCGCTCTCTCTCTCTCATGTCCTTTAAATGCACTTTTCTATCCATTCCCCCAGCTAAGTCTTTTGTTCCTTCAACAACTGCCCTAGCCTGGCCTTCCACAATTTGGGAGTTAAGACTCACCATCATCCTCACTTGAGCAAAATAAGAGAAATGTCTGGCCATAACTTCTTGGAAACTGATCCCTATCTGGCCACAATTCCAGCACTTTCTATGCAACTATTAGAATCTCTCCTTTTCTCATCATCTTGAGAACAGCCCCATGACCTCCTGCTGTATCCTTCAAGCTTCCTGACTGAGCCTCCACAGGTCTCTTTTTCAGAGCATTTGTTCTGCTTCGTACTTTGAACACTCAGTTTGTGAGCAAAGCTTTTTGTTGCTCCCCCCAAAGTCATCTAATGAGCCAGGTGAGTGTACCTAGTGGAGAGATCTTATGGAAAGAGAGAAAATTCTGGTGGCACAGGTGGAGACATAAGTTACCCAAGAAGTGAGATTAAGTGATAGTGGCTGGAGCTGAGAAAGAGAATAAAATCAAAAGGGAAAGAGCCACTGTTGCTAAACACAGTAAAAGTATGTTTTCCTATTTAGCCCATCATCCTTCTATATCATGATATGATGCTACCAACCACCATCCTTCCACTTTCCATCCAATAACATGGATGGGGCATTTGGTTCAGTTCTCCCTTATTTGGTTTCTTTTCCATTACATCGAGGTCACTTCACTTGAAACAAGCCACATATTTTCACTAATGCGTTTTCCTCTCTAACAGGCCAAAATCAGCCCATCCCTTCATACTTTGTGTGTTACAATTCTGTTCGCCTGACAAAGACTCACAGGTAGAGATGTTCTTATAATAAGAGATACTCTAATTGTTCTTTCCCATTAATTCTGAATTTTCTAGGGATTGCCAGGAGAACATGGTATCCCGGGAAAACAAGGCATTAAAGGAGAAAAGGTAGAGCTTCCATTTTATCCATTTTGTAAATTAAGTAATTCAGTAGGAGGAAGAGACAGAGGATCATAAGGGCTTTGGGGGAGTGAAGGGATAGGACAAAGCTGCCAGGACTGTGCAGGGGATAGACAGCCACAGAAACGATGGCATGAATTGTGCCCCCTGGAGTTCTGCATTGGGACAGCCCTCATTCTGACACAGAAACACAATGTAACAAAATGAACTGACTTAAAGATGAAGACCTCAGGACTCAGAAACTCTGTTTCAAGCTCAGCGGCCGACTCTGGAGTAGCTCTAGGAAGTCTCCATCTTTTAGGACCTTTTTCCTGTTGTCTACATGGAAATAGTATATTAATGTTGAACCTTCACTTAGAAATAACTTAAAGAAAACATAAAGATCATGAAAGAACTTCTGAATAGATGCCCTTTTATGCACAGATCCATGTACATGCATATGGCATGATACTACTAAACTTATTGTCACATAACTCACCACAAAATGTAAATGCATTTACGATAACTGGAACAGTGCTTGGCATAAATCAGGCCCTCTGTACATATTATTGAACAAGTGAATGAACGAGAAAATGAAGTTTGGTTATGATGACAACTCAAAGCAATGGAAACTGCCTCCACAACTCCCACCACAAACCTGAGCAATGATGTAAGAATCTTTCCTTGTCTTCCTCAGGGATCTCCAGGTGGGACTGTAGGCCCTCCTGGGCTTCCTGGTCCAAAAGGTGAGGCTGGTCCTCCAGGGAAAAGCCTGCCAGGGGAACCGGTAAGTACCAGCCCCTTTCCTAATATCTCCCTTGAAAGTTCATTAACTACCACTTGTGTGTTCCCAGTTTCAGATCACAAGTATAGGAATCAATTGAGATCTGCAGAAAAAGAAATATTCATCTCGTTCTTTAGGTCAGAGCTCTAACCTCTTTGGAAATTTGATGCAGGTGAAGGGCTCTTTTCTGAAAATAAAATGCACATACCTATTTTACATACAGTTTTGAAAGATTCATAGGCCCCCTGAATCTTCTGCATGAATTCTTTAGGGATCCAAGGAGCTAGTAAGATACACTAGTTTAAATTGTAAGCCTTCCTAGGACGCTATGTTAAAACAGAAGAACTGCCTGAAATTTTCTTTCCAGGGGCTCTGTAGGGATGGCCATTCATGGTCATTTGCAGAAAATGTCCTTGTGGCCGGGCAATTTCCAGGACATAGAAAAATTGAATAGCTGGAAAATCTAAATAACCAATGTGCCTATTTCACATACTTTTTTTTTTTCTCATCCTCTTTGACTTTTTATATTAATTGTTGATAATAAATAGTTCTCAGTATCAGATGCCTCATTTTAAAGACAAAAACATCTTTTTTATTATTAAGTTTTTTATTTTAATTCCAGTACAGTGTTATATTAATTTCAAGTGTATAATATAGTGATTCAACAATTCCATATATCACTCAGTGCTCATCAAGATAAGTGTACTCTTAATCCCCTTCACCTATTTCATCCATCCCGCACCCACCTCCCCTAAAAATGAAAACACCTTGTATTTTAAAGTAACTATACAAAATCTATAAACTAGCAAAATATGTATTCCCTGTTTCTTATTTTTTTTACAGAAAAGGGTTTATTCAAGAAGGATGAAGCACCATTAACCATTTTTGAGCTATAATTTCTAAGATGCTTTTAACCTTTTTAGAAAAAAAAATGTATTTACCTCGATTTTTTTCTTTTAGGGATTAGATGGAAATCCTGGAGCACCTGGTCCTCGTGGGCCAAAGGTATGAAAATATCATAGATAATTTCTAAAGAATTAATAAGAAAATACAGCCTGGAATTTCGTGAGCCTCGCACTAACGGAAGCCTCTGGTTGCACAGGGCGAGCGAGGACTGCCGGGCGTCCACGGTTCCCCAGGTGACAGAGGCCCACCGGGGGTGGGAGTTCCTGGCCGAACAGTAAGTGAAATTCCATCAAGCTTTTGAACCTGGTCAATTCCAATAATCAAATAAAATCCAGTGACAAACTTGAATCAGGAGAAAGGAATAAATGGTCAGAGGAGGAAATATAAATAAACACTAGTCAGAGGGAGAGAATTGATGAGCATTGAGGTTACATAGCTGAGCACAGGGATGGTGCTGTTTACTGACGTACAGATGCTGGTCTCGTGTACACTGATTTGGGATTAGAAGCAGTTATTTAACCCTTTGTTCCTCCATTCTACATATTAAAAAGTACAAATGAATGTTTGTAAGATGATACAAGTGCCTAAGATTAGGATTTATATATTACTGTTTGTTTTTAGTGAGAATAAAATTAAAAGTTAATATTTAAAGTGAATGGAGCATGTATAAATGAGATGATGTCAAAAATCTCTTAATATATTCAGGAAGAGAGAATAGAAGTCATTTATAATAGGGAAGACAGAGAATGGGCAGTTTTTTAATGTGTTTTAGCTACAAGGACAGTGCCTGATGATAATGACCTCTGTATGCATACTTGTTGACTAAGTAGTAATGAGAACTCTTTATTTACTATGAAAAAAACCTAAAAGATTCTGGAACAAGAAAAGTGGAAATAAACCCTAATTCTAATGGCATTAATTTGGGAAATTGGCCTTGTAATGAAATTATCATGAGAGGTAAAAGAAGGCATAGTGAATGGTTACGTTGTGTGTGATTGATTCTCTGGGGCAAGAATATAAAAAACCACTAGTGATGGGAGATTAAACACAGTAACAAAACAGATCGGGAAATTATTAAAGGACTGAAGGAGGCTGAAGCAAAAAATTAAAAAAATATATTAATAACTAAGGACACAGTATAAATAGAAAGGGTACAAAAAGTAGCTTTGACAGTAACAGTGATATGAATATTTATTTTAAAAAACAAGAAAGGAAATGTGGGTGAGCAGCTACTGAAGTCAGCTGCTGAGAACCCCGCTATTTACTTACCTAGGTTGTCAACTCCTCCTTCCATGATCTGTGCTTATGTAGTAGGGAGGGAGCTCTCGTCATTAGGTTCACTGATCACTGCCCAGCCTCATGTGGCTTCCCCCAAATTCCAATTTACTAACGTAGAAAAGTATGGCGATGGATGCTTTACTGCCTACTCCTGTCCCTGAACACTGGTTCTGGCGATTTCTTCAAACGGAGAAATGACTTGAAGTAGAAAGCAGAAAAGAAAGCGAGTCCTGAGCCAGTCAGCCTATCAGCAGCCAGTTTCTGAACAGATAGAATGTGGGTGCACCGTGTGGTCGTGAAGGTACAGGGACAGATGATGGTACCAAGAGAGATCGCCTAGGGCATCTGAGCAAAATCCTTCCGACGGCTCCCGCAAAAGGCATCTGCTTAAGTATTTACCTGCCATCCAGAAGTCTTAGCCGACTTCACAGGGAGTTTTCAGGGGGTGCAAGGTGGCAAGCCCTGTTGTTCCACTAAGTAAATTACAATACATAGCTCTTTATCCCCCGTGGATAATTTATGGACATTCCTGGAAGAATTCTGATAATTGGATCTCATTCTGCTCAGGGCTCCCAAGGACCCACTGGAGAGCCGGGTATTCAGGTAAGCTACGTAACCAAGTTATTTGGCACAACAAATCCAGCTTGCTTACTTGGAGGAAATTACTGAAAAACTGTCCTCATAAGTACCTATTCCCCCCACTTTCCAGGGTCCTCGAGGTCTCCCTGGATTGCCAGGGACTCCAGGGACCCCAGGGAATGATGTAAGGACCATCTTTACCTCCTCTTCCCCACCAGCCTATTTGAATCTACTCCTGTGCTACCATGCAAAGCTTTGAACACGATGATTCTGTTTTCAGGGAGCTCCAGGGAGGGATGGAAAGCCAGGTCTGCCAGGCCCCCCAGGTGACCCGGTAAGTCAACAGACTATGCCCACCTAACGTAGGTATCTTTAATGCACCCAGCAGCTGCACAGCCTACCAAGCAACCTTTACTGTCCAAACTAATTAGAATGCTCAGTGACTGCTTGGTGATTTGGGGAAAAAAGTTCAAGCTGCATTGGCATTTTGTGTGTGTGTGTGTGTGATGAATACTTATTTCCTAAGGGTCTAATTCAGCTATACAATTTTGCCCCAGGCTGAGCCTTGGCACATAATGTCTCAACCCCATAGAAAATTGAGTTAAAATATATAGCCACAACTTTTGTTCTTTCTAATGCTACCGACTAAATGAATTTTATTTTTCTAAATGAAAGTTTGCAGGTAAGTTACCTACAATATGGTACATAGCCATTGATTCTGTGGCTTTAAGATGCTGAGATGATTAAATTATAAAAACCGGCTTGAGTAGGCGCTTAAAAAATGGGTTTAGGCGCTAAATGTGTGTTCCAAAGTTTTATTTCAGGATGAACCTGGCTTTGAGCGACAGAGAAATCCCTTTAAATAGCCTCAGAATCGGCAGTTACAATTTGAGCGGCCATATGGTACATGACATTGTATTAAGAGTTTTGTATGATAAAATCCAAATCTGGCCTCTCGGTTCTAAGTCTCACAAATCCTTCTCCCTCCCACACTGGTTGGGCCTTATGTGCCTTTTATAAGCTACGTGCAGAGGCATATTTTGGCCTTACTTTAACTCCACTGCCAAGTGAATCATGTGTGTGTATCATCTAGGATTCTTATAAAGTGTTACTTGGGTTTGCAGCGTCTCTCCGAAAGGACAATTTAAGACACGAGGCCCAAACGCTGCCTGAGTTCCTTCAGTGTCTCTCTTGCAAATCATGGAGGCCACCTGTTGGCTCTTTTGAACTCCAGTGAGAAAGAACTTTCAGACAAACTCGTTCTAGACTTTTTTTATTTCTCAACAGCCTGATAATTTGTTTGGCAGAGTGGTGACTTCCTTTTAATAAATGATTTACCTTTATGTATTATTTAAAGCCAAGAATATACGAAGGTTGGCATAAAAGTTGCCATGTCATGAAAATATAAAATAGAGATGCAGGACTCCAAACCACAATATGGGTGTCTTTACATGTTCATCGCAGAGGAATAGTGAATACTTCTCAAAGTTATGAATCCTGTCAGTGTCATATGCCTATTTTGTGATCTGAAATATAAAGCCAGCCATTCTGACAGTGAGGCTCTTAGAAGCCCCATGACAAATCTCAATTGGCATGACGCTTTGAGGAAAAACATGTACAATATATCGTATGTTTGTATTGTATTATGTGCATGTATGTGCATAGATACATGTATTCAGGTTTTTTCTCCTTCAATGCAGATTGCACTTCCTCTCTTGGGAGACATCGGTGTCTTGCTTAAGGTACTCTGTTGCTATGTAAGAAATTTACATGTTAATTTTTAGGAAAAAGGAGAAAGGAAGTCTTTATCAGAAATTGAATTAATTGCTTAGCCTGGGCTAAAATTCAATTTTTTAAAAGGCAGAACATCTTTAAGATAGAAAAAGGAACACATATTTTTATGTATCTTGGGCCACTTGTACTAATCCCTCCACTCTCCTCTTCTTTACCTCCCTGTCAGTTTGGGTGTGAGGGGTGGTGGGTGAAGGTGGTAGTTCTGAGATGAGCTACACAGGAAGGAGCAGTGCCATCAACACCTTTGAGTAGACCATTCTCTTCTCTGGAGGGATGGCTTTCACCTCATGGGTGTTTGGCCTCCCTGGCTCACTACTGTGAAACCTAATCCTTCTTACTTGGACCTACCCTCACCAGTCCCAGGATGAAAACTGGTGCTGCTCAATAAACAGCTAGCTTGCAGGGCTGAACTTTGATGTCATGGGATTTTACAGAGTGAGTTATAGAATTCCAAAGCCAACAATTGCCCTAACACCTGTTACTCTGTTAAATAAAAGCTATCTCTACCTATTATTCATCTCATAAGGAATAAATCTTGCTACCATTTTTGCCTCTAATACTACCCTGTGTTTTATTTGTAATACAGATGGGGAGAATGATAATGGATACCTTTAAGGTTATGTATTTGTAATATTTTTTCATGGCACGCTAAGATCGCGTGAACCCAGATGAAAATCGGTCCCTTCACATTATACTCAAACCTTCTGTGTCCTATCTATCTATATGTGAATGGACAGTGTATATGAGCATACAGGTGCACACGCACGCACACACAAACTTAGGCTATATGTGTATATATGCGATTTATTTTATATTCCTAGCATTTAGCCCAGTGGTTTGTACAATGACTTACATAATAGTAGGCAGGCAGGAATATTTGTTGATTTAAATTCAAAGACTCAAGAATTCTGGTATAAGTATTTGCTAGATGATTAAAAATTTGAGAATATTGGGCGCCTGGGTGGCTCAGTTGGTTAAGCGACTGCCTTCGGCTCAGGTCATGATCCTGGAGTCCCGGGATCGAGTCCCACATCGGGCTCCCTGCTCAGCAGGGAGTCTGCTTCTCCCTTTGACCCTCCTCCCTCTCATGTTCTCTGTCTCTCATTCTCTCTCTCGCAAATAAATCTTAAAAAAAAAAATTTGAGAATATATATAAATATCAATATAAATATGAGTATCAATATAAAAATAAGTTACGGGAGGTTTTTAAGACCTTCAGACCTTCAAAAGTCAACATTTTCTTATAAGTCAAAAAAGAGTGTTTATGGGGATTTTAGGAAGACCTTATATTCGTTGAGTTACAGTTACATGGCAGGCAGTACACTGCTTTACTTACAGCATCTCACTTAATCTTCACAGAAATCCTGTAAATGTAGACTGTGGGAGTATCCCCATTTTATACATTAGAAACTGACGTTCTGAGCAGCTAAGTAACTTCCTCAGAGTCACACAGCTAGAAAGCACAACATTAACCCAGGAACACAGGTCCTCACGTGTTGTCTTCGGTTCTTCACAAGGACAGTTAATGCTGGAAATCATAGGCCTCTTAAGAGTTAAACCTAATCATTCCAGAAGAGTTAGGATCAAAACTTGCACCCTTCGGCAGAAATGAATATCCTGATAGAATATAGGGCGGCTCACAGAATAGACAAAAAGACTGAATAGGCTCTGACGAGAACCAGGACTCCAAAGGCCTCAGATGTGGACATAATTGATGGGTTCACCAGGACAGCATCCCCTTAATGAGTGTGCTCTGCCACTGGTCCAGCCCTGACATTACCTCACTGAGGTTCTGAGTCCCAGGAGAGCTGATGGGTGAGAGGCAGGACACCTCAACTGAGAGTCCCATCAAACTGCATTCCAGAGAAGGGGAAAGTATGGAGTTCCCCAAAGTGGAGTCCAAATACAGGGACTTAGATTGGAGTTTGGATCTGTTAGGTCAATCCAATGTAATTTTAAATTCTGATCGTATTACCCAATGCATTAAGTCTCCCTCTCTTGTCTAGAGTCTTTAGAAAACTTTGTCATCTGCCTTCTGTTTTCAAAAGTATCTTTGATTAAAATGTAGTAAAGAACTGACATAATTCCAGACCCAATGGCCCTTCAAAGACTTCATGTAGGTTAATCTGTGCATCCGTCCCTCTTTGAATGAGATTGTACATTGGCTAATAATTGATGCATCTTTATTCTCTCTGTAAGAAAAATCTAAAGACTTTTTTCAAGACCCTCAGTGAAATCATTTCCCTTGATTTACCATTCTGGCAACCCTAACCTAAAGAAAATGGGGCCCGTTTAAAATGACTCTGAGAAAATTTTATTGACTCATAATGACTACCATTCTTCTATGTTTTATTAAAACAATCAATTGAATAATCCATCCTAAAATACTGCTGAGTGTTGATATGCCAGGGTTTTGCTCCATATTGATATATGCCACATTTATTTGTCTACAGATACAATAATTCATCTTCTTCGTGCCTTTTGAAATACAGAAAACTTCTTGGTTCTCATAAGTCCTCTGGCATCTCTCTCTTTCTTCATAGTTTTTCAGATAGTATAAGTAGTGGATCTACAATTATATATATATTTTTTATTATTATTATTTCCTCTACCAATACATCAGCTCTGTGAAAAGATCCTGATGGCAAAATTGGTTCTGGGAAATGTTGCACACTCTGGCTCCCTTTTATATATACCAGCTCTAGGAATGGACCACCATGAAGAGAGAGCTCTTTAATCCAGCATTTTTTAGAGAAATTACCTCAGAACCTTTTCAACAGTATATGGAATTAGTCTTCCAAGGAGCGTGTTTTTGGAAATCAGACTTATTCTGATATTCACTGAGCAAAAATATTGAGCTTGAATAGCCATGAGCTTTCTTGGCAACTTCTCATTAATGGCAAGCTTCAGTTCCCTTTTTTACATTTCAAGATTCTTCCCTTTGGTGAAAAGAATGGAAGAAGAGAGGCTGGTATTGTCCTACCTTCTGTCAACTGTTAAAATTAAACCATCTCCTCCACCCAGTGGTCCCTATTCTGTGCCTTTCCTGATCATATTCTTACTCTAACAATTTAAAAATAAGCCTTTTTAGGGCTTTTCACAAGCACTAGTTCTTTAGCAATGTGCTGAGAAGTTTATCTTGTGAGCTCAGACACTTAAATTCAAGCCTTTCCAGATCAGCTAAAGGTTACAGAGAAGGCAATGGCAAGGTAATTCCACTTAGATTTCCTTATCTGCGCTTGGATTTGACACAGAGTCAAGTCCAAGTCACTCAAGTAATTATTTCTCACATGAGTCCTTCCACTGGCAATGTTGGTAAATTGTGTGTAGCGTCTGCCAACTAATTTGATCTCAAAAGGAGAAATCCTTTCTTCACAGCTTTTTCTTTCTTTCTCTTTCTTTCTTTCTCTCCTTTTTAATGATTTATACTATCAGTTGTATGAGGTCTGTAACCTTGTTGGTTATTTTGAACTTTATTACTACCTCCCTTTTTAAACATGCTGCTAACAATTCAAACAGTCTGTGTTATTGACTTATGTGTCTTTTCCTTACATATTTGGAATTTCCCACTTACATATCATCGTAGACATGCTTTTTATTTAAAAATTTATTTATTTAAAGATTTTATTTATTTATTTGACAGAGAGAGACACAGCGAGAGAGGGAACACAAGCAGGGGGAGTGGGGGAGGGAGAAGCAGGCTTCCCACCAAGAAGGGAGCCCGATTCGGGGCTCGATCCCAGGACCCTGGGACCATGACCTGAGCTGAAGGCAGACGCCTAACGACTAAGCCACCCAGGCACCCCTTTATTTACTTATTTGAGAGAGAGAGAGAGAGAAAGAGAGCACATACAGGAGCAGGGGGTAGGGAGAGGGAGATGGAGACAAGCAGACTCCCCACTGAGCTGGGAGCCCTATGTGGGGCTCAATCCCAGGACCCTGAAGTCATGACCTGAGCCAAAATCAGGAGCCAGATGCTCAACAGACTGAGGCATCCAGGTGCCCCGACATGCTTTAAAAAAAAAAAAAATAGGTCACCAATATCATAAACAGATACAGCTGTCTAGCTTCATACGTAGTTTTTACCTCACAAAAAATAGTCTTTTCAAATCGGATGAATTAAGTCTCTGAAAGTAGTGATATATCAATTGCTGTATCATTGGTCTCTGACAAAGGTTCAAATCTGATCAGACCTCACTTTTATAGATTGCTCTGATGAATCGCTCAGTAACCTTATCTCTTTGCTCATTAGAACTTCTGCGGCCACTGCCATGCCAGTGTCCCTGGGCTAAAAAGCAACAAAGGAGAAGAAGCTGGTGCTGGTGAGCCTGGAAAGTATGATTCTATAGCCCAGAAGGTGAGGAGGCCGGCTGGATGTTGATGACCCTGTAGCTTCCACCTGGTGCCTTCTCTCACTTCTTTACTGCTCTGTCCTCTAGGGTGATCCAGGCCCACGGGGTCCTCCAGGAATCCCAGGCAGGGAGGGACCAAAGGTAGGGCAGTTTCTCCTCCACTCTCTGTGCTACTTCCAGTTCAGTGTGAAAAAACAAACCAATCTTAAAACACACTACTTTTTAAAAGAAATATGTTGGAAAAGTGTAAAAGCCATTTGCAGATGTCATTTTTTTTGTGCTCTGACTCTGTCCAAATTACGTCCCAAGCGTACTAAGAAGAGATGTTTTTGTTGTTCTAAAAGATGACAAAACGATTCAGTATACTAGCTGAATTTCTTGTCTTTTTAGGGAAACAAAGGAGAGAGGGGCTACCCTGGGATACCTGGTGAGAAAGGTGATGAGGTAAGACTTTTCTCTGATAGTATAGTCCTGCTATTGACTCTCTTTGCAGAACTCAGAGGAAGGACTTCAACTTGTCTGTAGCTCATGTTTAATGCTAAATCAAATAAAAACAAAGATTCAGGTAGGTTGTTTCAAATGTCAACACAATTTAAATAATAATACATTTATGTTTATTAGCAGTGGTTCAGTTTTTGAGAGAAGGAAAATAAAGCACAGAGTTGACCCTCAGTTACTATGTTTTTGTTTTTATGTAGCAGATAGCAGTTGCCGCTCTCTCAAGATAAAAGCAAGGATTTACTGAAAAGAATCCTGAGGTAGCTAGTGGAATTGAAGGAATAGTTGAACAACCAGCCTAAGGACAAGGGACAGCTCCAAAACGCAGCAGAACTTCCCTGGGATACTGCTGTAACATGATTCAACTTCAGTGACCTTGGTTTGTCTGTGTCTCTGCTCAACTTTCATACTCTTGGGAGAAAAAAAAAAAAAAAAACCTATCATAAGGATCTGATTCAACTAGTTTAGATCAGCTACCCACCCCCAGACTAAGGCTCAAAGTCAAATGTACTTTTGAGACGATGGTATAATTTTCTGACTCTAAGCCATGGTGATGCTCAGGATATCATTCTTTTCCTGCATAATTTACCTTAACTCTTAGAAAAACCAATTAGGATGATGAATTGTTGTTAGTTTAAACAGTTTTGATGCTAATAATTCTTAATGAAAGTAAGTAAGCCATCTGGCATATATTAACCTTGATGTTAGTACTGAAAATCATAACAGTATAAAGTAGATCTATTTTTTGAGTCAGAGTTATATTCCATGTTACAAATTATCACCATGTGTTATTGTTTTTAATATTGATTCTATTCTAGAAAACTGTGAGAATTAGCTTGCCTTTTGTCCAAATTAAAAATTAAAGAACAAAGAAATACAACATTTATTTTCATCCATAAATAAAGCAGTAGAGGCATTTTGTTTTCAAAATAAGAATTATTGAGCTTTTGCTTCTTCATGCTCCACAGGAAATTTCACTAATGTACAAAACCTATATCTGATTTTAATAGTCTAACAGCTTTTAACTGCCTGGATTCTAGGAGTGGGCTTTAGAGGCAATTGAGAAGGTAATAACAAAAAGATCAGGAAATAATTGGAATTCAGGTTTTTTATAAGTGACTCTAAGTTAAATTTATTAGAAGTTAATTTTGACTGAGTCTACAGGATACTTTGCTCTCTTGGTAAACTGAAATGCATTGTTATTATATTACTCCACTGTTTTAGTATGTTCTTTCTTAAGTATAGTAGACCCCCGTTACCTGTGGGGAATATGTTTTAAGACCCCTCCAATGATGCCCAAAAACTGCAGAGAGTACCAAAACCTACACATGCTGTTTTTTTTCCTATACATACATATGATAAAGTTTAACTTACAAATTAGGCACAGTAAGAGATTAACAATAATAACTAATAGTAAATCAGAATAAATATAATAACATACTATAATAAAAGTTATGTGAATGTGGTCTTTCCCTCCCTCTCTAATATCTTTTTGTACTGTAGTCATCCTTCTTCTTGTGATGATGTGAAATGATAAAATGCCTGTATGATGTGGTGAAGTAAGGTGAATGATGTAGGTATTTTGACATGGTGTTAGGCTGCTACTGACCTTCTGGAAATAAGTCAGAAGGAGGTTCATGTGTTTCCAAACAGCAACTGACCACAGGTAACTGAAACCATGGAAACGCAAACTACTGTATACCTTTTCGATTCTTTAATGGAGAATACACAAAATTTTGCACAAGAATCTTATTATATGGGGAATTATTATTATATTAATTATTATATGTAGCAATTTCAGAAGGAGATTCTTTTCATTTGTTTCTTCACATCACATGAATAATATGAATAAGCCTGAAATACCACACTAAATCAGTTGGGCCTTTTGGAAAGGATAGGGTGATGCAGGCTTTTCCTCTCAAACAGATAGGGAATAATGAATATCATCTACTTGGATAGACTCAATGAATAGTATCTATTTGGACTCAGATACTATGTGAAATTATAATTTATTGATTTGTTTAGGTGAATGAAACTTTGACCGAGGACGTGTGCATTTCCAAATGGCCAGTAAACTACCCTATATTAATATGCATATAATATCTAGTCATACAAAATCTCAAATATCTGTTCTACTCTTAGTGGAAAAGATACAGAGGGACACCTCATCTCTTTGAGGACTTCTAATTATTATGTCTTCATTTTAGTCTGTTTGGGAACTTAGAGGAGCTGCCTATTTGTTCATTGCTCCGAGAAAAATGAAATTATCCTCTATATTTTTTGCAGGTGTTTCACAAATCAAAGTAGCAACTTATAAGACACTAATAGAACACTCTCACCTCTCATAGAGTGAAGTCTTGCTTGGAATGCAGATTTTCCTACAATATTTCAGGATAATAATTGATAAATAAGCCCTGAAAAATATTGTCGACCGTAAATTATAGCAATGGAAAAATAAATATTCTTGGTAGCAACTGAGCTAGGACTTGCAAAATCAAAATATCAGTTCAGAGAAAGAACTTAGCTCTAATGATCCTTGAATATCTATGCAATAAATTCTATTTTGTATTTTAGTTTGGCACTATATGCTAAATTGACTGTCCTACTCTTTAATATGTATTTGTCTTCTTTAATGACCATCTTGTCTTCTAAAATTATCTACTTGCCCTTTATGCATCCATAGTAACTTTTACCCTTACTACAAAATTTCAGCTTGTTCAGAGAAAGACTGCTGAGAATGATTTTTTTTTTATTTATGGACTAAGGTTTATTTTAAAGTTTAATGTGGTCATCAAAGGTTAATGAGTCCCAAGCTTATAAGTTAAACTACCTAAAGACTCACTCAACATCTCTAGACTGATTCAGGAATGAGACTAAAAGTAGAAAAAAAAGAAAGAAAAAGAATACATATGTACACCCATATCTTATACATGTACATATAGAGAGAATTTTATGGAAATGTGGGTATTTTGAGATAAAACAATTTGTGGTATGACATTTATAATCTCCAGACATTTAGAAGTGCCATTTCCAAAGGAAATTTGTTTCCTTTCAATTTATCAACCCATAAGAAAGTTAAGGGTGGGGAAGTGAAAAGAGACAATTCAACATGCCAGTGTGTGCCACCCACACGTCTGTGCATGCATGCACATGCACATGCGTGCACACACACACACACACACAGCATTGCCAGTGAGGATGATATCATCTTGAAGAAAGAACATGTCCACATTCTTCAACACAAGCATACATAAGATTTTACCCAAAACTCTTATTTCATGAGGAATTTCATCATGTTCGAGGAGATTCTTTTCAGTGTTTCTTCACATCATGTCACATGAAAAAACCTGAAGTAACATATGATCCCATTTAGCATTAGATGGACAGGTCTGGCAGAGCTTGGTCCTTGATCACATTGATGCAAAGAACCTTGATTCGAGAGAACCTCGGTTCTATAGAATTCTCATAAATAAGTATGTAGTATTTTTACCATGGTCACTCCACCTAATATTTATAATGTGTCTAAAAATGCATATTTAATCACAGTAAAAGGCAAAGGAACTTTGTTATAACAATTAATGGTTTGGTAATACGAAACATTGCTCAATAAAGAAAATTAAAACCTGAAAGAGTGGAATCATTCAATCTAGACCTTGACACCTCATGTGGTTATCTGAAATAACAAAAGAGTATTTAAAAGTATATATTTCTAATTATAGAAATCATCTGAGTTTATTAAAGAAAATTTGGGAAATACACAAAAGCACTAAAAAGGTAAAAGTTATCCCTATTTGTACTGCTAAGGGAGGACTGTTGGTAATAGTAATATTATGATCCACACCCATCATCTATAATTCCAAAGCTCAGAAGCCTCTGAAAACCCTGGAAATTTTTCCTGAATTTGCGGGAAATCCTTTTGGCAGCAGAATCTGACCTGAAATCATATGGAGTCGGTCTATTTAACCCACTTGATAAGAATATCATGTTTTGCTACAGAAATATTTGTATATTTATTAGAGGGTGCTGCCCTAACGCCACTGGGAGTGTTATGTAATATCTAGTGTGAGCACTGTGTTATTTTTATTAAAAAAATCAGAAAATTCAGAATTCTGAAACACATCTGACACCAAAGTTTCCAGATGAGGTACTTTGAACCTCTATCATTCTCATCTTTTATGAAGAGCATTGAAAATTTTTAATAATTTAAACATTACTCTCTGTAACATTTTATAACTGTCATTTTTGTATGTTAACCAATAGTTTGCTGAAACATGATTTTAATAGTTGCAAAATATTTTGTATTGTTTTATATAACTTATTTAACTAATATTCTGTTGTTGACACACTTGGTAAAAGAACAAAATTAATTACACAAGCCACCGGTTAATCTTGCCAATTCTTCCTTGAATATATGAATATATCAGTATCTTAAACCTTATCCAGTATAATTAGCATTATTCTACAAATCCAAGAAGAAGGGGGAGGGGGTATTCATTCACTTTTATGCTTAAGCCATTAAAGGGTTCTAAATTTAAATTCGCTGATGAGCCAAATTTCTTCTTATAATGAACTGTTCAGCTAAACTAAATATTATATCATAAAACATATTCCATTTTCCCACTAGCTGAAGCATTAGTGTAATCATGGATTCCTTTGATGGCATTCTGCCAATTTGAAATTTGTATGTCCGTGCTTTAGCAAAGCCAGATTCTCAGTGATGCTATTGTTCATGGGGTGGCTCTGGAAGCTCAGAAATGCTCTATGAATCACCAAACACATTATATTATGTTTGTTGCAGATTCCGTATCATGGCATTTTAGCTCATCATCCTACTCTTTGAAAATGGGCATTTGTATATTATATATATCATGTTTTCCAGCCAACGTAGATGTTTAATTTCAGTAGTCAAAATATTTGATCAACTAACATGCCTTGTTTATAACTATGTAACAGGCTAATGGCAGCAACTGTTTCTTCTAGGGTCTTCAAGGAATTCCAGGCCTTCCGGGTGCCCCGGGTCCCACTGGACCCCCTGTGAGTATTTGCTAAAGCCGTGCCACTAACGCTTCATATCTGCTGGGGTGATACAGGGGGAACTAAATTCCGCATTGCCTTTCATTCTCTGGGCCTCTCTGTAGATCATCCAGCTGTTGCCTAGAAAAGTAGCATCCTATAGCTCAGATTTGCATGTAGTATTAATGTTAAGGCTGCCCTGGGGCATGGAGACTTGTCATCAAAATTCTGCCAGACCAAAAGCAGTCTGTGATTAGGCTGGTCTCTTTGAATAGAAGTTAGATGTAAAGGAGCATTCTATTTTTTAGTTACACTTTTTTGGCATTAACCTTTGGAAGAGATATTCAGATGGTTACACCCTTACATTCTTAAGCCAAACTTAGAATATATACTAAGAATAGACTAAGAATAAATATCTTTAAGGGGGGAAAATGGGTTAAGGATAAACTAAGAAAAATATTTTTAAAGGGGAAAAATGAGTTAAAGATTATCATATTTGATTTATTTTTATTCCTATTTATCCATTAAAATACCATCTACTTTAATTAGCACTTTTTTTTTCACTGTCCCTCAAACACAACTTTGTGGTCTTTGTGTCTTTGGTTATACTGTTTTCCTAAAATAATCTCTTTTTCTTTCTTAGCTGCTAAACCCAACCAGTCACTAACATGGGGCTGTCAAGTCTAGGGTGACCAGTTAAATTACAGGACATGCAGTTAAATTTGCATTTCATATAAATAAATGGTTTTAGTATAAGTTTGTCCCAAATATCATATTTTGATTTGCTAAATCTAGCAACCCTACTCAAGTCTCATCTTTTCCAGCAATTCCCATGAGTTCCTATGCAAATGGTATTTTAGCTCACAAGTAGGCATGTGATCATGTTCCTTTGTGTTTTAAAGCATGGATTCACCATAATTAAAATTTTATCTTTTATGCTTTCACCACAGCTATGTAGAACAAACCTGGCTTTAAATTGTACATTAAAATTAAAAGTGAAGAGAAGAGTTGTGAAAGGAACCACGGAAATTATAGCTAACTCCATTCTCAAAGAAGAATTAAAATTAAATTTTATTTTCCATTGGTAAAATGCGGATTGCATAACTTAATATGCACATTGTTAATTCTGCCGCATCTTGAAGTATTTAAAATGTTGATCGCTACCAAAATTATAGCTCATTTAGGAAGGCATAATGTTATGTAAATTGCCATTTAAACAGCAAGGCTAAATTCTTAAATGTATCAAAAGGTTCCAGTTAAGGTCATTAAATGTGGTTGGCCAAGGTGAAAAAGCAGCCACAAATACAATTTTTACCCTTGCAAGGGCTTATCAGCAGGATACAGCTGTTGTATCAGCCTGAAGAAATATAAGCTTGTAGGACTGATTTAATTAGGATCAAATGACCTTCAAAATGTATCAGTTTTAGCAACCAACTTCCGGTGCCTTTGGCCATTTAGTTGTTTTGTTGTTGTTGTTGTTTGTTTGTTTTTGTAACACACTTAGTTTTGTGTTTTACAGGGCTTGTTGGGAAGAACTGGACATCCTGGTCCTGTGGGAGCAAAGGGTGACAAGGTACAGAGGAAATGCCTCACTTACTCTCTGAATTGGGGCTTGGGGGATGGCAAGGTGAGACACTTAACAGATCCAGAAAATCAAGCAAAGCCTGAAAGTAGGAATAATGTCAGGGAATAGCTATTCTGGTAGGGGGCTTGGAAAGACAGAGGTACAAAAATTGGTCTGCATACAGGTTCCTAGGGAAAAGGCTGAATAGAACACTGGTGTCATACAGCAAAAGTGCAAGCTAGATTCAAGGTCTTGGACATCTAGTTCTGTGGGAGGATAGAGTGGAGGAAGCTTCCTGAAGAGGTACGGGTAAGACGGTTTGTATCAGGGAGTTGCAGTCACAGGTGCCAAGGCTTCAGGCAGCTTGCTGAGAAAATCTGGAAGTTCTGTCTTTTAAGGGTCGTAGGGGAAATTCACTAAGGAATTAGGATACTTCTTCCCTCAGGAGTCCAGTTGATTAGACAAATGTGTTGCTATGGTCTGAAGGGAAGACCAGCAATAGAGGAATTTCAGGCAGGAAGACTCCGGGGCTTCATAGGTCTACCCAATTTAGGTCTAAATTGGTCCCACAGTGTGAGCCCAGCCAATAAGCGGAGTAAGACTAGGTATTCAGATTCAGGAAGTAAGAATCAAGAATCCACATAAGCAACTCAAGTAGCTTCTACCCTAAAATGACCAAAATGGGACATAAAGGCATCAATAAGCAAAGGAATTCCAAAAAAAAAAAAAAATTGAAAGGAGCCATGTGCTTATTTTAGATAGTCTCTGCACATTTTTTTCTGAGAATATGCCCAAGAAGCTTGCCCAACTCCACTAGCCTTTTTTCTCTGTTCTCTATGGAAATTATTTGGTCAGAGATTTGTCTTTTGAAGTTAATGGGAATTCCACACTGAGATGAGCTTTGGGGCACAATCGAGGATGAAAATATGACTTTTAATTGTGCCAGGAAAAAGAGAGTCTTTTCAATAGACACATATTTTTCCTTGTTTGTTGTCCTCTCATAGTTCATGAGAACTATGACATAATTCTCTGAATGACATTGCCAGCAATCAGCAGAATATGACATGTCTTAGAGAGAGAGCCACCATCAAAGCAGTTTGGGAAGAGATACAATATTCTTGTTGTCACTCATTCTCAGGCAGCTACATTGCAATGAAAACTTTACAGTTTATTTTCGTTGATAAAGATACAAATAGTTTTTATGATATTTCCTTTTGTTACTGAAAAAAAATATGGGGAGATGGAATGAAATCCTTCATCAAAGTCATGGAAATGGATTTAAATCCCTCAAAATTTGGGGGCATTGTAAGTTGGAATCTTACTGTCTCTGGATTCTTTTTTAATTAACCATTTCTTGCCATTCCCGTGACATTAAGGGACTTAAAGATTTTATGAGGCTATTATCCTAAAAGAAAAGCACAGTTCCAGGAAACACTGGTTAAAGGCACCAAAGGGACTATAATAGCCTTGCTTAGTATGGATCGATAAGCATTGTATGTTTTATAAAAATAAAAGTGAAATCCATTTTTCAAGTTTCAACTTGAATTCATTTTTCACAATTCCATTTTCAGGCTGTTTCTCCTGCAAGCAGAATGTCTGAGGCTGTTTAAACTGTATAGAACATTTCCCTTAAACAGTGTTGGACCACAGTCACTTCTGTTCAACGGGATGTACCTGACTTGGTTGCGAAGTCTAATAAAACCTTAGGGAGTGAAAAAATTTCTCCTTTTGCAGACACAACACAGGGTGTGATTTTTTCTACTTTGGTCAAATTATGTGGACGGCCCTCTGGTTCCCCAAAGAGGAAGGTGGTGGGGTTGAAGCCTAAAGTGAGGGGCTGACCTAGAAAGCCCAGTCCCAGAGCTCGCCCCTGCTTGCAGGATTGCCGCTCTGCACCCCGATGTGGGCAGAGTTTCCTCGGCTGCACTTGAGCTCCAGAACAGGATCAGCCAGGTTGTCTGGCTCCATCTAAAGCTAAGCTTCGTCCCTGGGGCTCACCCAGTGGGAATCTGAATGGGTATGGAAAAGGCATTTACCTTTCCTGTGGTCTAGGAACATATTTTCCCAGGTGAAAGGGAAAGCCAAGATGAATAAGACTTTGCAAGGCTGAAACAAAATCATATTGATTTTAGAATACAGCTCTCTGAGCAAGCACAATCTAGTTCATAAACTGGGTGTTGAAATGTGCAAACCATTGATTTTTGGTCTCTATATCCTGTGCAGGGCAGTGAGGGACCCCCTGGGAGACCCGGACCACCTGGACCACCTGTGAGTTACTTCAGTTTTTTTTTTTT